GCACCGCCGCGACACAGCTGCCCGAAGCTGACCCCGCGCCAGGTCTCGAACATTATCCGTCAGAACGACGTCACCGCGGAACCGGACTCTCGCTGCGCCGTCAAGTACTTCGAGTACAACCAACTCGCCGCCAACCACCCGATCGAGGACCGCCGCGCCGAGGCGAAGTGCCTCAAGACCCCCGGCATGCTGTTCGGGATTTTCGATGGGCACGGCGGCACGGCGTGCGCACAGGCCGTCAGCGAACGTCTCTTTGAGTACGTCGCCGTCTCGCTGCTCCCGCAGGACGTCCTCGAGGACTGCTCTCGCGCGATGAAATCGGACGCGCTCCCCTTCGACCTCCTCGAGTGGTACCGCAACGACGCCGACTACACGAACATCGAACTCGCGGGCGTCTACCGTCGAAGCCTCGAGCGTTACATCGACGAGACGCTGTCGGCGATGGACGTCGACGAATTCGACATGGCCGCCGCGCTCGAGATGGCCGCTCTGCGTCTTGACGCCGACATCGGACACGAGGTCCTATCGAGCGGCGGCGGAGGGGAGAGGATGCACGTGAATCTGGAGAGCTTGGAGGCGGCGTTCTCCGGCTGCACGGCGTGCGTCGCGCACGTCGACGGGCCGCACCTCCACGTCGCCAATGTCGGCGACAGCCGCGCCGTTGTCGGTTACCTCGACGACAACGACGCGTGGGCGGCGGCGGCGATGTCGCGCGACCACTGCGCGGAGAACGCGGACGAGGTCGCGCGCGTGCGCGCCGAGCACGCAGTCGAGGAGCGCCACACGGTGATCAAGAGCGAGCGTCTGCTCGGCGAACTCATCCCGCTGCGCGCGTTCGGCGACTTCCGCTACAAGTGGTCGAAGGCGACGCTGCAGTCGATGCTCGCCGACACGCGCCAGAGCCGGCTGCTCATCCCGCAGCACTATGCATCACCGCCTTACCTCACCGCTCGGCCCGAGGTCGCCTACCGCCGCCTCACCGCCCGCGACAAGTTCCTCGTCATGGCGACGGACGGCCTCTGGGAGCAGCTCGACTCGGAGAAGGTCGTGAGGCTCGTCGCGGAGCACGTGAGCGGTGCGCAGACTCTCGATCCGTACGTGACGCACAAAGAGCCGATCACGTTCGGAGAGGTGAACGGCGGGCTGCTCGCGCGCAAGACGGGGCTCGCGAATCGCGCCGTCGACACGAATGTCGCGTCGCACCTGATCCGCAACGCGCTCGGGCTGACAGACCGCGGCGTCGATCACGGCAAGCTGTCGATGATGCTCTCGCTGCCGGCGGAGGTGACGCGAAACTTCCGCGACGACATCACGGTGACGGTGATATACTTCGACGGTGACTACCTCGCGCACAACTGAGTGAGCGGCTGCCTCCTCCCCCCCGCGCGCGTGCGAGAGAGAGGAAACGCCGTGTGTGGGAGGGAGGGGTGGCGCAGGGTTCATTTTGCCGGCATTTGGAAAGATATTGCGGGTTCGTTTCACTGGCATTTGGGTGAATGGCGTCGGATTCTATTGCCGATATTTGGACGATTGGCGCAGGGTTGTTTTGATGCCATTTGGACGAACGGGGTTGGTTCGTTTTGCTGGCATTTGGACGAATGGCATAGGTTTGTTTTGATGGCATTTGACCATATGTCGTGGGTTCCTTTCAACGGCATTTGGACGAACAGTGTTGGTTAGTGTTGTCGGCATTTCGACGAATGGCACAGGGTTGTTTTGATGCCATTTGTGCAATTGCTGCGCTGGGTCGTTTCATCGCCAGTATTCGGATGAACAATGCAGAATCGTTTTGCCGGCATTTGCGCGAACGATACCCGATTGTTTTGCCCGAAATTAGGCGGAACAACACGGGATTTTTCATCGGAAATTGAGCGAGCGAAACCGGACCCTTTCGCCTGGAATTAGAAAAATGCCGCGGCGTTAGTTCACCGGTGTTTCGGGCGAAAGACGGGCGATTGTTTTGCCCAGCATTTGCGTCAAACGTTGGAAGGCCGAATGGCGGGCCTTTTCCTCTCGGAAAAACCTTACAGTATCTTCACACCTCTAGGTGCTTTGATCTTTTTAGGCTTTCACGCGACGTAGCGCGTATTCCGCGAGTGTTAATTATAAACTGCTTGACCACGAAAAGCCTCAAATTCTGCATTTGCTCAAAGGATAATAATTGCATGTAAAAGAGTAGGAGGAGGGGGGGACGGGGGTGGGGGGGGAACTGCAATATGTGGCCGCTGTTTTACAATGAATGGCAGCTGCGCTTGATTTAATAGGACAGAGTGCAAGGGCCGAGGGATGCTACCACAGCAACAGTGATGCAGCATAGATTATACTCACTGCTGTAGAACCGAATGTGAAAACTTCTGTGATACAGTACAGAGAGAGGGGGGAGGGGGGAGGGAGAGCTGGATCGTTTTTTTACTTTTCTCCGAACCAACCGGCACGTTGGGGCTTAGGTGAATGTAGTGCTCGGACGGGGCCTCCCGTGGGTGAGGCCTCCCTCGGGCGGGGCCTCCCGTGGGCAGGGCCTCCTTCGGGCGGGGCCTTCCTTGGTTGGGGCCTCCCTCGGTTGGGGGCTCCCATGGGTGAGGGGGGGTCGTGCGGCCCCCTGCGAGGTTTTGGTTTCGACAGCCAAACTTTGAAGCCTGCTTGCTTGAAGCATCACCCAACATCATTAGTTTGATTGGATGTGATTCCGATATAGCATGTTGTCATCGTTATTTGGGGGGGGGGATACTGGTTGACGCTTAACGACGGTGCACCACTTTTCCATTTCGTTGCCTGTGATGGGAGTAGAACCCCCCCCTCCCTAGTGACCAACTGTTACACAGAATAAGTCTAGTCCCTAGCCCCGCTTGTTTAATTATACGATTCTCGCGGGGAAATGATGGAAAAATTTGCGTGACAAAGAGTGGCGGTGGTACGCACGTGTGTGTGTCAGTGTCTAGTGTGAAATGTGCCTCGTTCTTGGACGTGTAGAAAGTCGTGTATTCTCGAGTTAGTGAGCTCGTTCGTTACTAAGGAATACTAACGTTGTATAGTTATATATATACACAGCAGGTTGTGCTATTAAACCTGGCTTGTTATGCAAGTGTAAAATGTCAATAACACGTTTTGCTTGTAATAAAAAAAAACACAATAAATCACAGTGAAATTAGTTGCTCATATGAATTTCATGATTTCTCTGAACCTATATATATGTTATGTTGACATCGGTGTTCATTATGCTAACGAATCTACCATTCACCTTTTCGCCATGAATGGCCGCACGACCAAATTTTAGGTAAAGATACGTGATATTATAATTCACTGGGGTTTTGGTAGTGTGTATATATATACATTTTGTATTTTTACATCTAGTATTTTTTTACATTTTCTTTTTTACATACATGTAGTGTTTTGTGTGTGTGTGTGTTTATGTGTATTTACGGTTGGCCAACGTATGTAGTAGTAGTGCTACAAAACCTGCGACTGTTCAGTAATTGGTTTCAACAATTATTGCTTTGCAGTACGCCTGACGTTCACAAATTGAGATTGCAATCACAAAATCGTTTGTTAACGAATAAATGTATTGAGAACAGACGAGATTAAATGGGATTTGCATCAAGAATTGCGCTTTTTAACCATCTTCTAAAACAATGTTCTTTTTTTGCATTACCATACCAGGGTTTCTACATAAATTTATTCTTCAAAGTTAATAGCTTTATAAACACACTAAACATGCACTATGTAGGTAGTAATCTGTGTTTGCCTTAAAATCAAACCAACGTAAAATTTCCCTTTGCGTCATTCGGCCACTTCGAATTAAAACCTGAAACGTCCAAGCATACATTTTAGTATTTTATCATCACATCATAAGTTTAACCTCTCCTAAAACCTAGACGAACGAACTTTGGAAACATATATATATATATATATATATATATATATATATCAGAGTACATAATAGAGATTAGATCTTGTCTCCATTATGTACTCTTGATATATATATAACGTTGGCGAATTTTTTGTCACACCACATGCAGTTCGCAGCGCCTGCAGCTATTAGAAGGCTGTATGCTCGCCGGACGTACACGTAACATGTACATATCATTACGCGTACACGACTGTAGCCGCACGGGCTGCTATGTAGAATTAAGGTCGAATCTCCCTTCTCTGTGTTCCGACCTTCTCTTCTTGCGCATCTCCATTGTGAGAACAGCACCGTGTAAGCAACGTAGCGTCCTTCAAACCCAGCGATAGTGATACTTCCTCCTGTCATATAGAGAGGGGGCGAGAGTAAAGAGAGAGAGAGAGATAGAGAAAGAGAGAGGGAGAGAGAAGAAATAGATAGGGCGGGAGAAGAAAAAATGAGGGCGTAGGAAAAAAGAAAGAGAGAGATTATAATTATAGTCCTTTTCTTTTTTTCCTAGCAATATATATATATATATAAACTATAAAATACTATTATATATATAGAGAGAGAGAGAGAAGGGAGATCTAGAAGAGAGAGAGCGAGAAGAGGGAGAGAGAAGAGAGAGAGAGAAGAGAGAGAGAAGAGAGAGAAAG